TAGTCAAGGTTGTGCTTTTTTCGCACCCCTGACCGACAGAGCTACATTGATGTAACTCTTCCATGCAGACCAAGCCTAGGTCATAGATTAGGCGCAGTATGCACTTTGGGAGCAATGGTAGCTGCACCATAATTGAGGTTGAGCTTCCTGTAATAAGCCTGAATTTCAACCCTTCTAACTTCTCCCAAAAGAAACATCATCTGGACACTTTACCTGTCATATCTCATCCCAGGATAGAACTTTAATGGGAAGTATGTGTGTGTTTGGGGAAGAGATCAGCAAGGCCCTAATCCTGTGATGGATCCCTGCACCCCATGTGGAATCCCTGGCAGGATCAGTATTTAAAGAGGTTATACAAATGTTAAGGTGTTTCAAAAATGTGCCTGTCTATTCAGGTTTCGAAAGTGTTCCTAGCATTTTGGGGTGGTCATATCTCCAAAAGGAACCAGTTTACAATCTCCAGATGTGCTTAATGTTGTTGGCGTAGTGGATTTCATACAGATGGATTGTTTTTGGGGAATTCAATTAAAAGATATAGGGGGCCCCCTCCAACTACTACTGAAGTCAATGGGAAAACTCTAGCTGACATCTGTGGAAATGGGATCAGGCCCAGTAAAGAGGTGTTTTCTCACATATACAGAGTAGGGCTGATGATTGGCTTGTCATGGATTCCAGGGTGCAATCTGCATCTGCTGCACTGAGTGAGAAATGTGGGGCAGGTGTCATGGGTAGGGGACACAACAGGAATCTGAGAGGGAAGCAGAGGACTGGGAAGGTGATGAGCTGGGTATGTATAATGGGGCAATACAATGGAGTCATGATTACTAATTTTGGAATGAGGGGCATCTCTGGGGTAGGCAGGAGACTGGTGGGGTGTGGATGCAGGATTAAGGGAGTGCAGGGAACTGGGTGGCATAAAGAAAGGGCATGGAAAGGGATCGAGGGCCTGGGAGGGGGTATGGAAGGTTTCCCTGGAAAGTACATTACCCATTGAAGTGCACAGAGGTGTATTTTCATTTTCATCTTACACTGTGTTCATTATTGCTCTGATAGGGCATTTGGGGGTGGGGGGGATCAGAGACTGGCTTGGGTTAAACACTGATTTACTTCTGTCAGTGGAAAAAATGAGACGTGGCTTCACTAATGTATGATTGCTGAGGCAGCAGAAGGATGTCTGTTCTGATTTACAGGGGAGTATTGCTGGAGGAAGTTCACCCTTTCTGCCCCCCAAAATAAAACAACAATTTTTAGCACAGAATGACCTTCCAGTCCATTGACCTAAATAGCTGCCATGAAAGGTAGGCGAGATTGACAAATACTAAGCCAAGTAACTTAATTTATAACTAAAGAATTCTAATCTATTGTTAATCAAACATTTGTATGGTGTTAATAATCCTTCCTTGCTTTTGTTGAATATGCCTCTATTAGCTGCTTTGCTGTTGCCTGTGGTAGACTATTCTGTGAGTTTACTTCCATCTGTGTGGAGTTTTGTCTCTCGGTTTTCACCTGTGGTTTTATTTTTAGGCCTTTTCCCTGAATCTTGGTTTTTATTGTAGTTCAAAGAGGTGATTGTTATGGAATCCCACTGATTTCAGTAGGCTTTGAATCATGTCTTGGGTTACTATCTTCTTGAGCATCTTAAAGCCATTAGTCTAATTTTTCAAAGGTATTCAGCACTTCTAGCGCCTGTACTTTTCTGTGTGAATGGTGGGTGTTCAGCATCCACAGTGCAGCCCAAGCTCTTCTAGCTGTTCTGCATTTGTTAACCTTCCTAATGATATGGTAAATTTCCAGAAAGATGGGCATATGCAACTCAGGCACAACAGGTAACTGAATCCAACTGGAAGTGCAGTTTCATTTGCATACTCGGGACCATGGGCTCCCCCTCCCCTTCCATAGGCTTTTCTGTAAGAGCGCCAGCACAAAGAGATCCTTGGCATCAAAAGCCAGAGACTACGCTGCCTTGTTGCACTATAATTGTACATCCGGCTTCTTGCCAGAAGGGATCATGGACAAGGCTTGAAATTTACACATAGGTAAAGGCATTTGAAATCTTGTGGTGACAGTCCTAGCATGAGTGAGTCTCCTTTGCCTGTGCACTGTCCTTCCTCCCCCCCCAACCCCCCGCCCCCCAGCACTGGCAGCATAGCTTGTCATGCTGCCTGCCAACAGATGCATGTGTTGGACCCTACCCGCTGAATGGGGGTTTTAAAGACCCATAAAGCAATTTTATCATTGCCTCTAGCCGCATTAATTTTCTCTCTTTCCATATGGTTTGCTTTCAATTTTGGGAGAAAGCATAGAGTGTGTCTCTGTTGGGCTACCTCCTCCCACCACGTTCCTGGCCACAGTCCAATTCTCCCACTGTGAATGTACTGTACTTGATATCATAATGCAGCTCATGTACTGATAGGTGCATATTTTAAAGCCACACTGGCTATTTGCTGTGGCTATTTGTAATATCTTAATATGAATTTCTTTCTTCTGTTCGGAGAGCATGGCTCTGGCATGTTTTCAAGAAGTAGCTCTATGCAATCTACAATGTGTATGAACAAACACACAAAAATAATCTGTGGGTGGGCCCTGGAGCGTGGCTATCTAGTGTGCAAATGCATGTTCAACATAACCACATCAGCCAAGCAACTAAGCATAGGCAATGGATCTTCACATTTAGGTAACTGGAAAGCATGCTGGGCCGAATTCTCTCACATGAATCTGTGTTAACCTCCGATTACTTCAATAGAGCTGCACTGGTATAACTGAGAATTTAGCCATCTGTTTCTAATGCTTTGATCTCTATTTCCTACAGATCTAATTTCAGGGAGGTGATGGTGCTGGGAAATGTTGTCATAGAGCATGTTAATAGCACTTAAACTTGGAGAACTTTGGCCCTGATTCAGCAAGGTACTTCAGTACCTGCTTAACTTTTTAGCACCATAGTGGCCCCCCATTGGAGTCAATGGAGTTAAGCAGCTGCTTAGTCGGGACCCTGAAAGCTTTGGTTTAATTTTTGCTAGCTGACTTCATGTTTTGTAATTTTGATCTATTGCAGATTAGGATGTACTTTGTTTTTGTAGGATATTTCGATTACATTTTTTCTTGGATCTAAAAGCTTGGAAAAAGGGGGGGGGAAATCTGTGTCACAAAATAGAAAAAGCTAGTGCCCCCCGCCCCACACATGCACAAAAAGCCCTCAATCATTGGTGATAAAATACTTTATTTTCATTTGTGTAACTGAACACTTAATAAAGAAATAATAAACAATATAAATCATTGGGAGAAAATGGACTTCTAATAGGAGTACCTCAACCATATCTGATCTACCAACACAAATATTCAGATAAATTATTTTCTATCTTTTTGGTGAGAGAGCCCCAAAAGTGAGTGAGTGATTTGTGTTCGTGGGCATCCAGTTTGAAACATAATCTGACATTCTACCCCAGCTGGCTGCACTTCCATAGAAGAGGTTATAAATTTTGCTCTGTTGCACTTCTTCACTCCTACTGATTTCAGTGGGCCACTGTATAACAGAGGGCAGGATTTGTGCCTTCCTCTTCAAATGCCAATGAGTATGCATGCATGTAACAGAGGTGAGGCCCTTCATTTTCAGTTTACTGACTTTTAGTGAAAAATGTTCAGGCTTTACCAAAAAAAAGCTACAATGTGGTTTTTACTGATTTTTTTTTTTCACACCTAAATTTCAGACCACTCATGTACATGAAAATATCACTTACCTTAAGAAATCAGATCCATTACATTAAGTAGATGTGTTATGTTAATAAGTTAGTCTGTGTAAATAGGTTTAAAAAGTAAGGCAATGTAGGGGAAGACACACACATGTGTATGTCCTGACTGTTAATGTACAGTTCATGAAATAAACCACAGCATTAAACTGCTTTACTTTCAGTACTCTTACTTTTTTCTACATGTTTTTTCTGTCCTGTCTGCTACTATTAATCCTAAAAAGAAAAGGAGTACTTGTGGCACCTTAGAGACTAACCAATTTATTTAAATAAATAAATTTATTTATAAATAAATTTATTTATTTAAATAAATTGGTTAGTCTCTAAGGTGCCACAAGTACTTCTTTTCTTTTTGCGAATACAGACTAACACAGCTGTTACTCTGAAACCTGTCACTATTAATCCTGGTATTTACCAAGAAAACTGTACTTATTTTTTGCACTTTTTTGCTTTTTAAAATTTTTGTAATAATCTGATACATTTCCAGGAAATTTTAATCAAAATAAAGACTGTAAAGGAAGTGCCTGGAACAAAGGGTAATGCTTAGTCCTACCTCCCTTAGTGCCCTTGAAGTCTTTAGGGGCTGCACTGCTGAAAGTCCAGGGAAGAGATGGCAAGGCCTCTTTCAGGGAGGGGTAGTGAATTTGGAACGCTCTCCCCCTCTCAGTATGGTGCCCATCATCATCGTATCTGGATTCCACACCCTGGAATTTTATTTCCACTTTAGCTTGTCTGTCGCGGTGGGAATTTATTTGCAGGTGTATCCAAGTGCACTATCCCATATCAGCTGTCAAGGCAAATAGCTCCTAAGTAGGAATCTTCCCATTACCTCCCGCTCCACCAAGAGCAGCGGGTCTCTGGGCAGGGAACCACTTCCTTTCCGTATGTGGGGGTCTCCTCTTTCCACTCTAGGGTGATAATGGACTCCCCATAGCGAATCGTCCTTTTCTCCCCCTCCTCTCCAAATTCCCTCTCGCTGGAGATCCTTTAATCTCTCCCTAGAAGCTGCCAAGTGTTTGTCAAGCTGATTTGCCCCGCCCTCAGGGTAAAAAAGCCCCTCTTTAAAGGTAGGGGAACGGGCTCCTGTTTAACTTGTCCTGGAACCTGACCTGAACCCTATGGAGCAGGCGCAGATAGGAGTGGCTTTGGGACCGCGAGGGAGCCCGCAGTCTTGCCAAGGAGCTGCTGGAAGCGACCATGTTCTTAGCAGGGTAGTACGCTCCGGCTCTCTCCTTCCCTCTGCGCAGACAACTCCTCCGCCCTCCCCGGCCCTGGAGCGGAGAGTGGTAAAGCCCAGCCTAGGACTATCACCCAGCCCCATGAAGTAGCCCTTGTGCGCTGCTACCCAGGCATCACCCAGAGCAGCCGCGGGAGGAGGCGCCAGGCAGGCAGGCAGCCGGCCGGCCGGCTTCCAGGCATCTCCGTGCGCTCCGAGCTCCTTCCACACCCCCAGCTCCGAGCAGAGCGCGAACCGGCTCCCCATCCCCTGTGCTCCTGCCCCGCAGCCCCGGGACCAAGCCATGAAGCAGGCTCTGATGGAAGTCATGAGGATGAACAGGATTTGCAGGATGGTCCTGGTCACTTGCTTCGGATCCTTTATCCTGGTCATCTTCTATTTCCAAAGTATGTTGCATCCAGGTAGGGCACCGTCACTTGCTCTCCTGGTCCGCCGGCTGTGCCAGGCGGGGGGACTCGGGCTGGCGGACGGTGCGCTCCCCGCCGCGGGATTCAGGCTGCAATAATGACTCTCTTTCCTGCAGCCCGGATGGGCGATAGTTTGTATTCTTTTTGTGTCTGAGAGGGAAGGGGGGGGGGTGAGATGTGGGGAGGGAATTGGTAGCGGATTAGAGAAAAGGGGTGTTTGAAATATTGAGGAGAGACGATTGGGGATTAGGATATTGGGGGAGAGGTGGGGACGGGGGATTAGTAGGAGATTGGGATTTTGGGGGGTCTGGGGGATTAGCAGGGGATTGGAATATTGCGGGGAGAGGTGGGGACGGGGGATTAGTAGGGGATTGGGATATGGGGGGGGAGAGGTGGGGATTAGTAGGGGATTACAAAAGGGGCGATATTAGGGGATTGAGATATTGGGGGATTATTAGGGAATTAGAGGAGGGACATTATTGAGGATTGAGCTATTGGGTGGACGCTGGTTGTGATGGTGGAGAGATTATTTGGGATTGGAGAGAGAGTGACAGAGGCCGGGGGGGGGGGGCTGGTCGGTCTGTCTGGGGGATCAACTCGAGTTGTGTACAGCGCCGGGCGCCGATGCTGTGAAATCCGGGTCCAGCGCTGCCTCTCAGCCCGGGAAGGTGAGCTGCAGGCCCGCGGGCTCTCGAATCGCTCTCCCCGCTTCGGATCCATCCCTGCCATGTGGATACAGGGACTTAAGCAGCTCCGGGTTGCGCTGCCGCAGAAGGGCCGGGATCGCGGTCCCTGCTCCCGCCTTGCCTCGGGGGCTGAGGTGCTACCGGGACTGTTGTTTGGGGGGCCGGGCGCCCCGCTCCCCGCTTCTCCTTAGCCCACGAGGATTGGGGCGGCGGGGACGGGGACGAGGTTTTGCTGTTCCCGAGTGTGCTCTGAGGCTGCTAGCCCCGGTCCTGGCTTCTGCTTCCCTGGGGCGAGCCTACGCTGGGGCTCGGGGCGCTCCGGGATGGGCGCGCCGCCGGCTCTTGCAGCTGGGGCCGGCGCTGGCAGCGCGCCGCTCGCGGGTGGGCCGTGTGCCTGGGGCGCAGCAATCGCTGCCGCTCCTCGCCCCTGGCTTTCTATCCCCAGGGTGCGGCAGCCGCAGCGCTGGGGCGGGGGCTGGGGAAGAAGAGGGGCGGGGGGGAGCGATGCTGCCCTGCTCTGTGGAGCGGCTGGCGGTGACCCCAGGGCAGGGCGTGTAGTCAAGAGTACAGGGGTTGGGTCGCGGGGGCACCCGCGGGCTGCGGCGCCCCCGCGCTGAACTTCCAGCCGCTGCCCTCCGAGCGAGCCGGGGATTTCCTCTCCAGAGCCTTTCGCTGCGGCATCAACCCCCCTCAAGATGTCCTGCTAGCGCTGAAGCCAGCATGTCCGTGTCTCCCTCCACTCGGAGCTCCGGAAAGGCTCCCCCAGCCTGCCTGCATCCCCCGTTCCCCCCAGCGACGGGGGCCACGCATCAGAACTGGGGGAGCCTGAGAAATAATCGCTACCCTCGGCCTGCCACCTCCCGTTCCCCCTCCTCGGGTTTTAGGTAAACAGTTTAGTGCTACACTGGTGAAGTAAAACAGGCTTCCCTGTTTAATCCTCGCTCTCCTGTCTACAGTGGAGCGAGCAGATGGGAAGATCCTACAGTGGATTACAAAAGTTCTAGCATAATGTGCATATGAAAAGCCCTTGAGTGTCCCGTGCTGTCAATCAGCCCGATCCTGCTGCTGAAGTCAACTGGAAGTGTTACTAATGTAGCTGGGTGAGCGCAGGATCGGGCTCAGTATTTTATTCATCGACGCTTTACCGGTTGTTTTGAGTGGAGTCCTTTTCATCTGCCAGGTTTCAGAGTGGCAGCCCTGTTAGTCTGTATCCGCAAAAAGAAAAGGAGGACTTGTGGCACCTTAGAGACTAAAAAATTTATCTGAGCATAAGCTTGCATGAGCTACACTTGATCGGATGCATTCAGTGGAAAATACAGTGGGGAGATTTATATACACAGAGAACATGAAACAGTGGGTGTTACCATACACACTGTAACCAGAGTGATCAGGTAAGGTGAGCTATTACCAGCAGGAGAGCAAGAAAGTCTGAGGAACAGGGGATAAACATGGGGAAATAGTTATACTTTGTGTAATGACCCATCCACTCCCAGTCTTTATTCAAGCCTAAGTTAATTGTATCCAGTTTGCAAATTAATTCCAATTCAGCAGTCTCTGGTTAGAGTCTGTTTCTGAAGTTTTTTTGTTGAAGAATTGCCACTTTTAGGTCTGTAATTGAGTGACCAGAGAGATTGAAGTGTTCTCCGACTGGTTTTTGAATGTTATAATTCTTGACGTCTGATTTGTGTCCATTTATTCTTTTGCGTAGCGACTGTCCAGTTTGGCCAATGTACATGGCAGAGGGGCATTGCTGGCACATGATGGCATATATTACATTGGTAGATGTGCAGGTGAACGAGCCTCTGATAGTGTGGCTGATGTGATTAGGCCCTATGATGGTGTCCCCTGAATTGCACCAGCCACCACACAACAGAACCACTAACCCAGGAACCTATCCTTGCAACAAAGCCCGTTGCCAACTGTGTCCACATATCTATTCATTATAACATTCAAAAACCAGTCGGAGAACACTTCAATCTCTCTGGTCACTCGATTACAGACCTAAAATTGGCAATTCTTCAACAAAAAAACTTCAGAAACAGACTCTAACCAGAGACTGCTGAATTGGAATTAATTTGCAAACTGGATACAATTAATTTAGGCTTGAATAAAGACTGGGAGTGGATGGGTCATTACACAAAGTAAAACTATTTCTCCCGGTTTATCGACCCCCCCCACCCCCCGTTACTCAGAGGTTCTTGTCAACAGCTGGAAATGGCCCATCTTGATTATCACTACGAAAGGTTTCCCCCTCCCCTCTTGCTGGTAATAGCTCACCTTACCTGATCACTGTGGTTACAGTGTGTATGGTAACACCCATTGTTTCATGTTCTCTGTGTATATAAATCTCCCCACTGTATTTTCCACTGAATGCATCTGATGAAGTGAGCTGTAGCTCAGGAAAGAGTATGCTCAAATAAATTTGTTAGTCTCTAAGGTGCCACAAGTCCTTCTTTTCTTTCATCTGCCAGTTTCTTTTCTCGATGCAGGGTTTACTGGGGCGACATACATAATCTCTGGCCTATACATCAGTAGATCCATTGGTTTTCCCTCAGCAAGGACTGCAGAATCTGGTCAATAGCTGCAGAAAAAATTTATGATCCAATTCCATTAAAATGTAGGCAGGTGTTTAATTCTAAACACGCGAATTGTCCCACTGAAATCAATGGAATTAAGCAGTATTTGAGGTTACGTACCTGCCTAAATCTCTGAAGGATGGGGGGGGAGGGGCTTAATATGGGGGGATCCTTCAAGGAAATAAATTAAAGTTCGTTGAACAAATGTATTTTCAAGGAATTGAAAGACGTGGTGCTTGAATTTTGGACTGACAGTGAAAGTTCCACTGTTAGAACATGAAGAGAAATGATTCCCTCTTTCGACTATAGATTTTGTCCTCCTGAACCCTTTATGTGTAACGTGTTGGTGTTTCTGCGACCACTAAGTAGCCAAACCAATGCTATCGAATGCAAAGAGAGCTGGCAAGATAGCCTTATAAATGGGGTTTGTACTCCTGTGATTAGAATAGCGGAGTGAAAGTGTTTGCCTTGACATTCTAAAGACTTAAAATTAACTTCAGGTCGTGCTCCAGTACAGAAAAAAAGTATTTGAGATTGACTCCAAATTACTCTTCTCACTCCGCAGTGAGAAGAGTATTTTGGAGATTACAGGCTGGAGGAGTGAAATGCTCTGTACGTGGGGCTGGATCCAAAGTCGATGACAGTCGGCGGAAAGGTTTCCAGCGATTTCAGTGGGCTGAGGTTTGGGTCAGGACCTGAAAGAGAAAGTCATCAGTGCTCTGGATGAGGCTGGAATGTTTGCACGACAATGGCTTGACTTTATTTAATTTGGTGATAGGGTCCTTGAAACTAATACACGTCCAAAGTGTTGCAGCTCTGTGTAGTTAAGCGTCTGGTGGAAACCCTCAGTAAAAATGCACCCTTCAGTGAAGTGTAGGAATGTGATGTATGTTGGAGGGCGAGGGGGGCTGATCCTGCTCCCGCTGAAGTCGATTGGGAGCTTTGCCACCGATTTCAGTGGAAGCAGGATCGAGCCCTTGGACATTAGTACGGAGTGTGGCTCTGCAGCTGCTCCAGGAACAGACATTTCATTGGCTCCAGTGACCGTCCTACGTGCAGAGTGGCTGGGGCGGGCAGAAGAACATCACTTGCACACACTGTGCTCTGATTTCCCCCCCCCCCCCAGCATGAGAAACGATGGGGAAGCTGACATTAAAATACTTAGAAGAATCACTGAATGATAGTTCAATGAAAACACATGCGTTCAGCGTCCCCCCCCCACCTTTGACATTGCCACTAAACTGAGGTTTGTCAAAATGACCTTCATTAAGGCTCTTGGGGTCACTAAGCATTTTACATTATGAACTGATAAGTATTTTATGATGCAGTTGATCTCGGCTTTTGTGGTGATACCTGGTTCTCCTGAATACCTCCCTACCTCCAAACTCAACTGCCGGCTTCACAAAACTTGATATTTGCCTGTTGAATGTATTCCATTTCTTCGCCCATCTGGGTTCATACCTGCCAATCTCCCTTAACTAATACAAATTTATTGTATCATATTTTTTTCCTATCCGCCCAGTGCTCTCCACTCCCACTGACTTCACAGGGAGTGCTCAGCACATAGCAGAATTGGGGCCCCAACTGCCAATCATGTATTGGAAGGCTTCAGAACACACTGTAGCCTGTCATTCACAACAAATGTAATTTTTGCAGTGGTTATATCCAGTGGGCAGTATATTTAGTAGGTTTATTCAAAGGTACTTGGTCACAGATTTATTTTTCCGAGCTT